CCTCGCCGCACTCAACAAGTTCAAGAGCCGCGCGCGCTCCGTGCTCATCTGCACAGACGTCGCTTCCAGGTCAGTCCCAGCTGGCTAGGACAAGTGTTCAGTGTGCTGCTGCACGGCCAGATGTCGCAGCACAAGCGCCTCGCCGCACTCAACAAGTTCAAGAGCCGCGCGCGCTCCGTGCTCATCTGCACAGACGTCGCTTCCAGGTCAGTCCCAGCTGGCTAGGACAAGTGTTCAGTGTGCTGCTGCACGGCCAGGTGTCGCAGCACAAGCGCCTCGCCGCACTCAACAAGTTCAAGAGCCGCGCGCGCTCCGTGCTCATCTGCACAGACGTCGCTTCCAGGTCAGTCCCAGCTGGCTAGGACAAGTGTTCAGTGTGCTGCTGCACGGCCAGATGTCGCAGCACAAGCGCCTCGCCGCACTCAACAAGTTCAAGAGCCGCGCGCGCTCCATGCTCATCTGCACAGACGTCGCTTCCAGGTCAGTCCCAGCTGGCTAGGACAAGTGTTCAGTGTGCTGCTGCACGGCCAGTGGTCGCAGCACAAGCGCCTCGCCGCACTCAACAAGTTCAAGAGCCGCGCGCGCTCCGTGCTCATCTGCACAGACGTCGCTTCCAGGTCAGTCCCAGCTGGCTAGGACAAGTGTTCAGTGTGCTGCTGCACGGCCAGATGTCGCAGCACAAGCGCCTCGCCGCACTCAACAAGTTCAAGAGCCGCGCGCGCTCCGTGCTCATCTGCACAGACGTCGCTTCCAGGTCAGTCCCAGCTGGCTAGGACAAGTGTTCAGTGTGCTGCTGCACGGCCAGATGTCGCAGCACAAGCGCCTCGCCGCACTCAACAAGTTCAAGAGCCGCGCGCGCTCCGTGCTCATCTGCACAGACGTCGCTTCCAGGTCAGTCCCAGCTGGCTAGGACAAGTGTTCAGTGTGCTGCTGCACGGCCAGATGTCGCAGCACAAGCGCCTCGCCGCACTCAACAAGTTCAAGAGCTGCGCGCGCTCCGTGCTCATCTGCACAGACGTCGCTTCCAGGTCAGTCCCAGCTGGCTAGGACAAGTGTTCAGTGTGCTGCTGCACGGCCAGATGTCGCAGCACAAGCGCCTCGCCGCACTCAACAAGTTCAAGAGCCGCGCGCGCTCCGTGCTCATCTGCACAGACGTCGCTTCCAGGTCAGTCCCAGCTGGCTAGGACAAGTGTTCAGTGTGCTGCTGCACGGCCAGGTGTCGCAGCACAAGCGCCTCGCCGCACTCAACAAGTTCAAGAGCCGCGCGCGCTCCGTGCTCATCTGCACAGACGTCGCTTCCAGGTCAGTCCCAGCTGGCTAGGACAAGTGTTCAGTGTGCTGCTGCACGGCCAGGTGTCGCAGCACAAGCGCCTCGCCGCACTCAACAAGTTCAAGAGCCGCGCGCGCTCCGTGCTCATCTGCACAGACGTCGCTTCCAGGTCAGTCCCAGCTGGCTAGGACAAGTGTTCAGTGTGCTGCTGCACGGCCAGATGTCGCAGCACAAGCGCCTCGCCGCACTCAACAAGTTCAAGAGCCGCGCGCGCTCCGTGCTCATCTGCACAGACGTCGCTTCCAGGTCAGTCCCAGCTGGCTAGGACAAGTGTTCAGTGTGCTGCTGCACGGCCAGATGTCGCAGCACAAGCGCCTCGCCGCACTCAACAAGTTCAAGAGCCGCGCGCGCTCCGTGCTCATCTGCACAGACGTCGCTTCCAGGTCAGTCCCAGCTGGTTAGGACAAGTGTTCAGTGTGCTGCTGCACGGCCAGATGTCGCAGCACAAGCGCCTCGCCGCACTCAACAAGTTCAAGAGCCGCGCGCGCTCCGTGCTCATCTGCACAGACGTCGCTTCCAGGTCAGTCCCAGCTGGCTAGGACAAGTGTTCAGTGTGCTGCTGCACGGCCAGATGTCGCAGCACAAGCGCCTCGCCGCACTCAACAAGTTCAAGAGCCGCGCGCGCTCCGAGCTCATCTGCACAGACGTCGCTTCCAGGTCAGTCCCAGCTGGCTAGGACAAGTGTTCAGTGTGCTGCTGCACGGCCAGATGTCGCAGCACAAGCGCCTCGCCGCACTCAACAAGTTCAAGAGCCGCGCGCGCTCCGTGCTCATCTGCACAGACGTCGCTTCCAGGTCAGTCCCAGCTGGCTAGGACAAGTGTTCAGTGTGCTGCTGCACGGCCAGATGTCGCAGCACAAGCGCCTCGCCGCACTTAACAAGTTCAAGAGCCGCGCGCGCTCCGTGCTCATCTGCACAGACGTCGCTTCCAGGTCAGTCCCAGCTGGCTAGGACAAGTGTTCAGTGTGCTGCTGCACGGCCAGATGTCGCAGCACAAGCGCCTCGCCGCACTCAACAAGTTCAAGAGCCGCGCGCGCTCCGTGCTCATCTGCACAGACGTCGCTTCCAGGTCAGTCCCAGCTGGCTAGGACAATTGTTCAGTGTGCTGCTGCACGGCCAGATGTCGCAGCACAAGCGCCTCGCCGCATTGAACAAGTTCAAGAGCCGCGCGCGATCCGTGCTGATTTGCACAGACGTCGCTTCCAGGTCAGTCCCAGCTGGCTAGGACAAGTGTTCAGTGTGCTGCTGCACGGCCAGATGTCGCAGCACAAGCGCCTCGCCGCACTCAACAAGTTCAAGAGCCGCGCGCGCTCCGTGCTCATCTGCACAGACGTCGCTTCCAGGTCAGTCCCAGCTGGCTAGGACAAGTGTTCAGTGTGCTGCTGCACGGCCAGATGTCGCAGCACAAGCGCCTCGCCGCACTCAACAAGTTCAAGAGCCGCGCGCGCTCCGTGCTCATCTGCACAGACGTCGCTTCCAGGTCAGTCCCAGCTGGCTAGGACAAGTGTTCAGTGTGCTGCTGCACGGCCAGGTGTCGCAGCACAAGCGCCTCGCCGCACTCAACAAGTTCAAGAGCCGCGCGCGCTCCGTGCTCATCTGCACAGACGTCGCTTCCAGGTCAGTCCCAGCTGGCTAGGACAAGTGTTCAGTGTGCTGCTGCACGGCCAGATGTCGCAGCACAAGCGCCTCGCCGCACTCAACAAGTTCAAGAGCCGCGCGCGCTCCGTGCTCATCTGCACAGACGTCGCTTCCAGGTCAGTCCCAGCTGGCTAGGACAAGTGTTCAGTGTGCTGCTGCACGGCCAGATGTCGCAGCACAAGCGCCTCGCCGCACTCAACAAGTTCAAGAGCCGCGCGCGCTCCGTGCTCATCTGCACAGACGTCGCTTCCAGGTCAGTCCCAGCTGGCTAGGACAAGTGTTCAGTGTGCTGCTGCACGGCCAGATGTCGCAGCACAAGCGCCTCGCCGCACTCAACAAGTTCAAGAGCCGCGCGCGCTCCGTGCTCATCTGCACAGACGTCGCTTCCAGGTCAGTCCCAGCTGGCTAGGACAAGTGTTCAGTGTGCTGCTGCACGGCCAGATGTCGCAGCACAAGCGCCTCGCCGCACTCAACAAGTTCAAGAGCCGCGCGCGCTCCGTGCTCATCTGCACAGACGTCGCTTCCAGGTCAGTCCCAGCTGGCTAGGACAAGTGTTCAGTGTGCTGCTGCACGGCCAGATGTCGCAGCACAAGCGCCTCGCCGCACTCAACAAGTTCAAGAGCCGCGCGCGCTCCGTGCTCATCTGCACAGACGTCGCTTCCAGGTCAGTCCCAGCTGGCTAGGACAAGTGTTCAGTGTGCTGCTGCACGGCCAGATGTCGCAGCACAAGCGCCTCGCCGCACTCAACAAGTTCAAGAGCCGCGCGCGCTCCGTGCTCATCTGCACAGACGTCGCTTCCAGGTCAGTCCCAGCTGGCTAGGACAAGTGTTCAGTGTGCTGCTGCACGGCCTGTTAGCCTGTAAAGTGATAAATTGACAACTAATTATAGTTGTTATAAGGTTTAGGTTCACAATACTTTGATTGATGGCTCTGTGGCGCAGTGGCTTAGCAATGAGTTGCTGCGCTGAGGGCTTCGGGTTCGAATACCGTACGGAACAAGTATTTGTATAGCCTACAAATAATTGTCCTGGGTGTGTATATTTGTCCTTGTGCAATTTTTGTTTGTAAACTGCCTCCACAATACAGGAGTAATCCTGGTGTGTAATCCTAATCCTGATGTCTTCAGTCGTTTTGGGTTGCCATTCCCATTGTAATATAAAATTGGAAGAATTGAGAGCGCCTGTGAAATGTACCTGTGCTTACGTATACACTTATGCACTTTAGCCCTGCCCTGCGCGCTTGGCTAGTCTCCCATGAGACTATCCTAACCGAAATTTGGTATAGAGGACATTATTATTTATTTTAATACAACTACAGTCCTTACATCATTGAAAATATGACTATACTAGAATTTTTTTTTTTATAGGATCGGGTGACAAACGAGCACACAGTCCACCTGATGGTAAGTGGTTACTGTGTCCCATAGACATCTACATCTATCCTCAATAAAGACTCAAGATGCAGATGCGTTGTCACCCGTGAGGACTAAGATGGAATGCCTCTTTGCCAGTAAAAATGGTCTCCGGCTCTCTACACTCACCATACGAAACACAGCAGCGTTAAGCTGCTATTTTACGCTGGTTTTCTGTGAGAGCGTGGTCCTTCCCCGGTCGAGCCGACCCATTCGTGCTACAACCATAATATAGCTGCAGCATGGCTCTACCACGTAGAAATTATTATTATTTTATCCGTGCAGTTTGGGTCATAAATCATCGGAGTATTTCGCTCTCTCTCCAACTCACGGGCCTTAGGGGCGAGCATAGTGATGCGCATTATTGTTGTCGATAAGCGTTATCGATAGTTTTGTCATTATGTGGGTTAGTGATAAAAAAAAGATAAACCAACGTATTTATTAAAATAGGAATAATAATGATTTAAAATAAATTATTAATTGGGTATCTATGTATTAAAAAAACTATAAGTACAAATGTTTGGAATGTAACAAGTTATATTAAAAATAAATATAAAGATAATAACTTATATCTAAAATTAAATCTAAAACTATGATACAAGATGTTTAAAATTGTTTATAGGGGTCTGGACATTCCGCATGTGGACGTGGTTATAAACTTGGACATCCCACTGCACAGCAAGGACTACATCCACCGAGTGGGACGCACCGCTCGGGCTGGCCGAGCCGGGAAAGCTATAACTTTTGTCTCGCAGGTACGTCCAATATGGACACGTAAAAAAGAATTAAAACACCAACTTCAGAAGTTATTATTTTAACCTATGTCTAGTTCTTTGAATCTGCTTTTAGGTTTTATTAAATGTTTCATTTTTTGAGTGAACTAAGGAAGATCACAAACTTAATGTAACAAGTAGAATGTTGTCTAAATTTGTCGTTATTTGGAATACACTGCTGCCTATCTCCTGGTTTGTTTCCCCTTTTCGCCTCTTACAACACCCACGAGACGATAATATAGGTTAGTAGATATTCTTACACTGCCACTATACGTGTGTGTGTGTGTATGTGTTAGTGTATAAATTACAGTGTACTGGAATATCTCACCCTTAATTTTAAAAAGGTACGGGCATATTCCGTAACTGATACTTATTTCCAGTTGAGCAAACTTCTAGAAGTACACTACTACACTAGAATTATATATATATATATATATATATATATATAAAAAGAACTATTAAAATCATTTCACAATCTATAAGATATTACACAATATCTATAAAAAAATATTTTTGTACAGGCAACTATCTTCTTACAGTTGAATTGAGTAATTTTTGTAAATTAGTCTGGGTAGATCACAGATATGCCATAAAATTTTTTTTGCAATGTTATATGCTGCGCAGTAACGAAATAACCGCAAACGCGCACCCAGACTCGCGGGACTGGATTCGCCAATTGACGAAGTTATACTTTTTCACAATTTTAACTTGCCAAAAGGACCTCCAAGGATCAGTATAATCGTAACTTGGGAGGAATTTATCGTCCTTAGTCAGCGCTTCTGTGGAATTCTTATGGGTGTCGTCATTCATTATATGAAACTACTAAACAATTATTCTACCTTAGATACTCCCACAAAACATGGCTCTGAGTCACCTGTAAATGGTTTGTCACCCTTCTTAGCGATTAAGTTTCAAGCAGAAACTTAATTGCTAAGAACTTACTTTTATACTCCCGCTAGCGCTAACCATTTGGCAAAGCTAAAGTATATAGTAAACAAGATTCTTATCTATCATACTCATAGTTCATGGTCTAACATATCAACTCTTCAGTTATTTAATGAGGGAAGACATCAGTTTCGCAGTAAAACTAGTGTTGTACCTAGTCCTTTATGAGCAGTCAGAAGGTTTCTAACAAGGCTCGTTTGCCTGTGCATGAGGGGGTGTTGGTTCCGACACTCATGTACGGAAGTGAAAGTTGGGTATGGCAGAAGAAACATGAAAGCAGAATAAATGCAGTTGAGATGAGAGCGTTAAGAAGTATGATAGGAGTTAAGCTGAGTGGCAGAATATGAAATAGTAAGATAAGGAAATGTTGTGGTCTGAAAGAAGATGTAGTGACAAAAATTGAGAACGGTATGCTGCGATGGTTTGGCCATGTCGAGAGAATGAATGAAGAACGATTGACGAAAAAAGTGTATAAGGCGAGTGTGAATGAAAGTGTTGGAAGGGGTACACCTAGGCGGACATTTCAAGACCAAAACAGGGACGTCTTGAAAAAAGGCCAGGTCAAGAGTATACCATAAACCAAAGAGCATGTATGAAGGGAATAATGAAAGTGGACGAAGCGAAACAAGTATGTAAGGATCGTAGCAAGTGGAAAGAAGTGGTCTCTACCTACCCCTACGGGAAAGGGGAGTGATTATATGTATGTATGTACTGCATGCTTTGTAAATTCGTTTCTTATCGGCAATAATGTTTCAGTATGACGTGGAACTGTACCAGCGCATCGAGCAGCTGATCGGAAAGCAACTGCCGCTGTACAAGACGGACGAGAGCGAGGTCATGGTGCTGCAGGAGCGCGTCGCGGAAGCGCAGCGGCTCACTAAAATTGTAAGAAACATTTCATATATTCTGTTAAAGATTTAAAAATAAACGCAATTTTTTTTATAACACCGAAGGCACAAACGCGCATACAGTCCACCCGACTGTGAGTGACTACTGCACTCAACTTCAAAGAACACTACAGATGCGTTGCGTGTACAAGGTATACTCCTAATCTCACGCTTAGATTATCGGACGAACAACTCGCCGAGTTATTCGCGGACGAGTACGACGCGTATATATATTCGTCTGTATTCATTCAACATAGATTGTTTAAACATGAATGACGTATGTCTCGTTGCTACGATATTATGTCTACTTAACTTTTATAGACGCACTAATATTTTAAATAAAAAAGAAGATAGGATAGCAGTAGTAGAAATAGTTCGTACTAATTAGAATACAATATGAAAGCAGTTTCGCTCTTGGGAAATTCTAATTTTTTTATAAGGTAAGGGCGACAAACGAGCACACAGTCCACCTGATGGTGTTTGCTGCGGCCCGTAGACATCTACATTTATCCTCAATAAAGAATCAATATGCAGATGCGTTGTCACCCGTGAGGGCTAAGATGGAATGCCTCATTTCCAGTAAAAATTAATTCTATTACCTAGTTATTCTTTTTTTTTAAACGTTACGCCCTCACTAGGATTTTCTCCTGTATCGTGGAGGCAGTTTACAAACATAGATTGCACGAGGACAAACATCCAGACCCGGAACAATTATTTGTAGGCCATACAAATACTTATTTCTTGCGGGATTCGAACCCGCGGCCTCCCAGCGCAGCAACTTATTGCTAAGCCATTGCGCCACGGAGCTGTCAACACAGTCTCCGGTTCTCTACACTCACCATACGAAAACAGCAGATTTAAGCTGCTATTTTACGTTGGTATTCTGTGAGAGTGTGCTCCTTCCCCGGTCGAGTCGACCCATTCGTGTTAAACTATAATATAGCTGCGGTATAGCTCTACTACATATAATGTATTTAACGAGTAAGCATGTTATATGATGTATTTGTTCTCATAGGAAATGAAAGAGCTAGAGGACAAAAAGAGCGTGAAGGGCAAAAAGCGCGGCGCAGAGTCCGACGACGACACGGAGGAGGCGGCCGGCGTGCGCAGGCGTATCCGAGGAAAACCCAAACATGGCGGCAAGAAGAAACGATGAATAAACTTGCTCCTAAACACGCGACTTTTATTTAAGTTTTCTTAAAAAAAAAAAAACATGCGTTAGTGTCGTGGAACACTCGGTTGGAACGAAGTTCCTTATTATTGATAGACGTATTATATTATTGATTAACAAATACAAATAAATGTATTACTAGTGTCTATTAAAATGAAGTGTCATTTAAAATAAAATACACTATGACACAAGGCGTAGTGACGAAAAAATCTTACACTTTTTGTCGCCTAGCTCCCATCCACCAAACCCGTACCGTCCGACAAGGAACTTTTTTCCAAAAATTACAGAAATACCCACTACAAGCTAAACACGGCCTCACTCGTGAAAACTGACGTCAATCACCAGATGACTATAGAAAAGGACAGGTATAGAGATAATTAGTACTTAGGGTATGTTCCGATATACACTGCCAGTATACTGCCACAGTACCCAAGGGAAATATATGACGCCATAAATCGCGACCATTTTTGTACTGTGAGCGTTGCGCTTTCGAAGATTCGAAGTAATTTGCTCCCAGTACTTTGATTACGTGATCAAAAAACAACATTGCCTAGAGATTTAACACCTTCCACGGATGATTGTTATTATTATTATTTAATATTGTTTTTCAAATAAACTGACATTAAGTTTTAAAAGCGACAACATTCAAATAATATTTTTTCTTATTGAACAGAAAACGTGTACAGTAGAGCGCCGATTATCCCAATTAATTGGGACCGGGGTCGATTCGGATAATCGGACATAGACTGGTAATAAAGAAAAACTAACTGTCACACAGAATAAACTTTATTAATTATCTTAAGTAATTCAATGTTATTGAGTTGAAAAAAAAAACCGTTTCAACGTTCCGTTTCACGGAAGCCGCGCGACAGAAAACATGTAGTGTCTTGCCTCTAGCTTTCAACCATAACTTTTGAAATATATCTGGACTCTAGCGAGTTCCAACTTGTTACAACAAAACAAAACAAAATTTACATTACTTACTTACAGTACTTGGTTTTAATTTTTTTATATTACGCTTAGGACCGATTCGGATAATTGGCGATTCGGTTAATCGGCGTTCGGATAATCGGCGTTCTACTGTACATGATAAATATTTTCATTTGAAAACAGTGTCGAAAATGGGGATGACAGTATGTATACCTGTCGGAAATATCTGCGAACCTCGCTGGAATGCGCTTCCCCTCGCGCTTCCCCGCACCTCCGCCCGTTATCGTCTATCCAGTACCGTTGCCATCTCTCCATATTGCATGACGTCATCAAGCCAGGTTCGCAGATATTTCCGCCCGTTATCGTCTATCCAGTACCGTTGCCATCTCTCCATATTGCATGACGTCATCAAGCCAGGTTCGCAGATATTTCCGACAGGTTATATCACAGAACACTAATACCCTTAGGGTATGTATACTGGACTACGTTCCGTTTTAACCGATTCGTTGCGGCGCCGATTTTCGACAACTTTTAGCTGTGGCGGCGAACAAATATTTTGCGACACGCCTGTCGTGTCAAGCGCCACAGCAAAACATCAGTTGCAAACGGAAGGATACTTGTTATTAGTGGGTAAATACATGTGTTTCTACGTGTTTTCCATGAAATTGAGAGTAAGTGACTTTTTTATGCAGAGATTACATACCTTTTGTACTATTTTTTTTTATAAAAAAAATATTTATATAAGTAGGTATAGCTAAATCACCCTGGAAAACCTTGGTTTTTATTAAATTAAATTTTCACCTAATAATAATATTTGTAAATATCAAACTTGATCAAATTTGGAAAAAAATAAGGTTTATGATTCATTAATATATACATATATATATATAAATGTTAAATATTATTTAATGTTATACAAATGTAAAAGTAAAGTCGATTTCAAAACGTCTAATTAGTAAGAATAGCAAAACAAGTGTTTTCAAAAGGAAACAAACGCCGGCGCTATACGGCGGCGGATTGACGAAAGACTATTTTATTAGCGAACTTTTTTTATACCGTCAAATGCCCTAACTTTTCACGAATATTGATATTATTTAGTTTTGTCGTGAAATAAATCCTGAATTTGTACTTTTTAGCAGATAGAAATTAAAACAAGAGTAAAAGCAAGACTTAGGTATAATATATAACATTTATTTTAGACATTATGCTTAATATTAATAACTTTTTGGAGGTATTTTAAGAAATAGGCAAAGTTATGTCTAATATTCCTAACATTGCCAGAGGCGTTTACTCCAAAATAAATATATGCATTTAATCCTGGGACAATCTTAAATGTAGCTTAATAATTCAACAATACAAATCAATTTCGAATAACACCTTTTGGCGTATTTTAGTAGATAAAATTTTATAAGGCAATGTTAGGACACAATTTCTTCCAACATCCATACATTGACAAAGAAAGTGTAGGGTTGTCTCATAAGAAAAATAAGTAGGTAACAAAATATTAAAATTATATTTAAAATACATGTTATAACACTTAATCAGTCATTCTCATTGCAAGCAGTTTTTATTAAAATTACAATCAGTCTTTCGAAATTAACCCTTTTTCTTAATAAACATAATCTATAAACGCACAATACGACATAGTAAAGTTTTACTTTATCTATCCTAAAAAAATACAACAATATCACAATGAAGTCAAAAACTAATTATCAGGTAACAAATTTCAATAAATGTTTGACAAAAGAACACCTAAATTATCTAAATCAAACTTTAATGTCCCTCTACGTCCGACTTGTGGATTTGGCAACGTTTTTTCTACATCAAGTAAAGTTATTTCTGAGACATCATCTACTAGTGGCCAGTAAAATGTACCTTTTGAATTTTTTCGTAAGTATTTTATAGTATATACGCGCTCCAAATCGTTGTACTTGATTACTAGACCAATATAATATTTAGCCAACTTTGATGTTGAAAATTTAACAAGAACATATTTATCAACACCTATTTCATAAATATCATTTTCTTTATCAATATTTTGTTCCAATTCTTCATACATTTCATCTATGTATGTTTCCGTGTCACTTAGAGATGGAAGAAAATGTTCATCACAAGACGAATCGTGCACAGTATACATTCCTGAGCTTTCTGAACTCGACCCTTGATTGCTCCTACTTTTTGGAAACACCTTTTCATGCTTAGTATAGTCATCTGAAACACTATCATCAAATGAGATTCTATCTGGGGATTTTATAATTACATTGGAGAGAATTCGGCTTTTCGTCATAGTTTCATTTGATGTAGTTGCATCACAGTTAGAAATATTTTTGAATAAAGTCCGGTCATTTGATAAACATAAATTTTTATCAACATTCACAAATAACGCCTGGTTGAATGTTGTAAATACTTTTAGTATTTTTCTGGTCCGATAATTCCATATCTCCATGTTTTTGATGTATTTCAGCATTTACTATCAAATTAGTCATAAGTTGGTCATTGTCAGCATCGGATGACGAATCTCGCCTAACGTTTAATGAGACATTGTCAAAAGTATAATCCACACTTTGATTATACATAATCAAAGAATCTGCAATAGTTGAATGCGTTTCTTTCACGTCTTCCTGTAATTGGATTTCTGTGGGGATGATATTTTTCTTACGATTGAGTCTTTTTGCGTTACTAAGAGTTGTATCTGGTGCTTTTCGTTTTTTAGTTTTTTCATTTACGAGATCGGTAACAGTTATTGATTTTCCAGGCTCTATAAATATTTTTTTATTTGTATTTCTTATTTGCCGGTTCGCCGGGTTTCTTAAACCTTTCAAATAATTGACAAAAGTCTCATCGTAAGTAATGTTTGCTTGTGGCCTACGGTAATCTGGCAATTTCTTTAATATAGCTTCTGGATTAATGGGGTGTATCCCAGCAGCACGAAATCCGCTAATTATGTTTTTACTCTGTGTAATTTTTGTTGCATCTAGTAACATTTTCAATAATTCGGGGAATATTTGTTTGTTTAATGTGTTAGAACTTGGGTGTCGAACTTTGTAGTCCGTTAAAATTCTCCTCCTTCTCTCTTCAATGGGCCGAAAAAGGCCACATCAAGAGGTTGAGTGTGGTGAGTGGAGTTAGGTGGCATAAAGATAAATCTGATATTATGTTCTTCACACTTAGTTATTATATTTATATTCATATGTGACGATAAATTGTCTCCAATTAAAACTTTAGGATCAGTGGTTTTCACTGCCCATGGGATGATTATGGTATTAAACCAATCTTCAAAAGTATACGAATCGAACCAACCAGATTTGGTTTTGTTGTATCTGGTTCCTTCAGGCCCGTTTGCACACCAATTTGTCCACAAATTGTCTGCTTTGTATACGACATATGGTGGGAAAATTTCTCCACCTGCCGTAGCTGAGAACATAACAGATATCGCCGTCTTGGTATTGTTTAGTGTTTTGTTTGGGTATTTAGTACCTGCTTTAAATATGCATTTTTGAGATCCTGGGTTATCGGAAAAGTTGGTCTCATCATAGTTCACTATATGATCTGGTTTGACATTATGCAATGAAATCTTCAAATTTTCAAAATATGTATTGTAGTCCTTTACACTCTTACTAGCTCGGGATTCTTTAATATTATTTGTAGAACGCACCGTCAGGACATTTTTGTGGCGTTTCAAGAAGTTTCTTACCCACTTCTGACCCGGCATTTTGTTGTTAAAAATATTACTGAGTCCATTTTTGATTAAGTAATCATGTACGATTGACCTTAATTCAAAGCTAGTAACAGGATACCCATATTCTCCACAAAGAACTAAACAACTGACTATTTTCTGTTCATCAGCTGGTGGCAGTTTGGTGGGACATCCGACTTTTTTCGTGTGTTTTTGTTTTACTTTATTTAAAATCGTGCGGCGAGGGATACCAAATTGTTTCTCAGCGTCGTATGAAGTAATATTTTTATTTTCAACGAGACCTACAGCAATGTTTAGTAAGCTCTCATCGTAATCTTTATATTTTCTTCGCGGCTTGTTCATTTTGATTGTCCTTCAA